TCTCATCTTTGTCTCCATACAAATAATAGTGACGTCTGCAAGGAACACATTTTAGAAACCACAATGGCACAATGGGGGCTGCTACAGAGAGACCTCGACTTACGACAACTCAGCCCCAAATTTCTGTTGCTAAGCAAGACAGGTGATTCAATGAATTTCGCCCCGTTTTACGATCTTTCTTGCCACTGTTAAGTGAATAATTACAGCTGCTTAAGTTCGTAACACAACTGTGAGGTGAATCCCACTTCCCCATTGAGGTCATTTTTCAGGAGGCCTCAAAAGGGGATCATGTGACCCTGAAACACGGCAACCATCATAAAAGTGAACCGCTTGCCAAGTGCCTGAATTTGGATCACGTGACCATGGGGATGCTGCAATGGTTGTGTGAAAAACGGTGGTCACTTTTTGCAGTGTTATTGTAACTTTGGTCACTAAATGAATGGTTGTAAGTTGAGGAGTACCTATATGAGAGTCAGTGGGTGATTGAGTGATCCAAGTACTTTGTGAAACTGGCTTCTCCCCTTCCAGCAGGTCAGATAAGGTCGATATCCTCTAGGTCAGGGGTGTCAAACTTGATTTTATGAAGGGCCGCATCAGGGTTGTTTGATCTCGGGGGGGGGGGGGGGGGGGGGGCGTGGCCAGCATGGGTTTGGCCAGCTCATCACTTGTATCGGGGGCGCCTGCAATGGCCCAAGTCAGTGATGGGATTCAAAAAATTTTACTACTAAATTAAAAAACAAGGATTATTCGGATTATTATAAAATATGGGATAAGTTTTATGGTTGCTAGAGAAGAGGAATATTCAAGAGAATAAGGAATGATCATATGCATATATAATATATATGGAATGAAAGTATGTATTATTATTGGACTTAGCAAAGTAATGACAAAGATGGATGTTAGACTGTACCATGTTCAATATTTTTAATGTATTTTTGGTTCATGTTGGTGTTTGTTTAATAAAGAAAAACCTTTTATAAACAAAAATTAAAAATTTTTTTACTACCAATTCTATGGGCGTAGCTTGGTGGGCATGGCTTGGTGGGCGTGGCAGGGGAAGATTACTGCAAAATCTCCATTCCCTCCTCACCCCCACTAACCTGCTTTCCAGCTCCGTTCTCCTGTGAGGGGCAACCAAAGAAGACCCAGCCAATCAGCTGGGACTCAGGAGGCAGAGAATAGATGGGGGTGGGGCCAGTCAGAGGTGGTATTTGCTGGTTCTCCAAACTACTCAAAATTTCCGCTACTCTTTCTCCAGAACTGGTCAGAACCTGCTGAATGGCCCAAGTGCTCTGCCAGAGAAAACGGGCTCCCGAACTCAGTTTTCTGCTGCAATGGCCTCCTGCAACCCTCTGCCAGGGAAAACAGAGCTCAGAAGGGCTGCACATAGCCCTCCTGGGCTCTATTTTCACTGGCAGAGGCACCGCGGGCCAGTCCTTCACTGTTTCCAGGGTGGCCTCATGGGCCAGATCTAAGCACCCGGCAGGTCGGATCGTTTGACACCCCTGCTCTAGGTCTTTTTCTTTAAATGTTGTCATCTGGGTACCCCAAAGCAGGGTACCTTCTTGGTGGTCACCTCAACCCTTTGGGAAGTCTTACTACTTGAGGTTCGAAGGTATCCCCCTCCTTTTAGTATTCCAGAAGGCTGCAAAGAGCTGGTTTTCCCTCCAAGAATCAGGAGAGGGTAAGGTTGGAGCTCGGAGGATGGTTGTGTTGGATGCGTCAGAGAACAATTGAAGTAACAAGTTTTGGTTTTACTGGGATTTGGGTTTGTGTGAGTGGCCTTTGCGGCCACCTTGAGATGCCCAGAGATGTTTCATAAGATGGCTGGCATTGTAAGTCTAATCAATAAAGCAGCATACATATTGTTTGGAAGAGTTAGCGGTAAAAGGAAACCAGGTCGCCAAAGGACACAATGGCTGGACGCCATCAAAGAAGACACCACCCAGAGCGTAGGATAACTCCGTACAAGATTGAAAGATGTGGAAAGACCTGGCCCAGCAAGATCACCAAGAATCGGACACAACTGAATGGATAACATCATTGTCGTCATCATCATTTGGTTATTAATGGTGTCTCCCATGCTTTGTTGGCTTCTTCACAAACTAGAGAAAAAATGGAACTTGAAAACCGCCTTAATAGGAATTGCTTTCCCCTTGAAATCTCAGGGATCAACTGGGGTTCTTTCCAGATTCAAAAAAAATAAAAGACCACATGATCCAACATTGCCCTTTGCTGCTGATTTTCCACAGAAGTGTGCCCAATTCTTCTTGCCTTTGTTATTTTAATATAGACTAGCTGATAAGCTGGCATTGCCCGAGTATTTATATATCCCAATCCTGTATTAGACAGGAAAATCCTGCAGTCGGGACTCACGCTGTTATACTGTCTCTCGTGCAGCGTAGCAATTCTTCTATTCCTCCACAAGAGGGAGCCACTTGTAGAGTCCTGTGAAACTGTTACCATGGCAAGTCTGCTGTGCTGTACAGTAGAAGCCATTTTAAGGCACACACACCCCTGAGGGGTGTTAAGGGTGTCTTACCCCCCCCCCCCCGTATTTGTTTCCAGAGTGTAAGTCATCTATATACCAAGTTTGATTGAAATTGCTCGAGGCGTTTCAGAGTTATGCTGGAATATGCACACACACATATCCATTTTTTATATATAAAAAAGAAGATATGTGGAGCTCCTTCAGAAGTTCACCACAAGGAGAAGGGTATATAGATGGAAAGAAATGATCACCCAAGTCCTAGGGTTTCCTGTCTGAGCAGAGGGTTGGACTAGAATATCTCCAAGGTCCCTTCCACCTCTGTTATTCTGTCATTTCCTCACCCCAAAACTATTTTCCAATCCAGAGTAATCTTCAGGACTATGAGATTTGCATAAGGAGTCCAACTAAACCAAGATTCTTTAAAAGAAACATCTCTTTATTAAATTAATTCAAGAGCAATCAGCAAATATTTAAATAATCAGGATTGAGAGAGTGCAGAGCTCACTGTTTATTTCCAACTTGTTCTACTCAAAACAATATCAGTCTTTTTGCTTTTAATTCTTTCATGTTACACAAAAATCCATCATCACCAAGAAATTGATAGAAGTGCTTCCTGCACATACACACTACTTAAGGTTTTACAGTGAATTATGTAGGAAAGTCCAAATACTTGACATGTATGCTAGCTCCTAAGTGTTTTTGTTTGGAAAATTAATTGTTGGAGTAAATAGGGTTTTTTTTAAAGTGGGACTTCCTCTTCTCTTCCATAAGAAAGAGGTACACTCACCTGATGGAGGAATTGTGCTCCCTCATGAGGGAAATGAACACTTTTTACAAGAACTATCCCTTGCCATATTTTACTTCCGTACATCATCCTTAAATTGGTCTGTTAAAGATCATATATAAATAAAAATAGTAGTATGCCAGACGAACATGTGAAAGCTTTTTATAGACAGTGTTGTCCCCTGATCAGAAACATCAAAGTGTATTGCACAGAAAGTACTTCCCACTCAAAAGTTTGCCACAATGTGCAAAGTTCAACCTTTTTTTTTATTCCAGTGTTTTCCTCAGAGTAAGATTTTTTTTTCTAGTGAAAGGAACACACCCAGAGAGAACACTTGTTCTTTCAGACACAGGTGTCTCCCTAAAAGTCAGTTTTCACAAAGTCTGAAACAGCTCTACGAAACATCTACGATACTGGATATAATCAGTGGGTTTTAGAACTCAATCTTCTGCAAGTTGCAGTTGCAGATATTAAATTTCTAAAGTGATTCTATTTCAAAAAAGCTGAACAACATCTGCTCCCGGCAATTTGAGCCTACCTGAAAAAGATCTTAACAAATATAGTAATAAGCCTCATTATGAAGAAACATAAAAAATACAGATCTAGGCTCAAATGCAAAGGTCTACCTTAAGCCAAAATGCAAAAAGACTATGAGCCTTTGGGAAATTTTAGTCCTTTTAAGTCCTTTATTTGCATTTCCCAAACAAATGAGTTTTCAAAATGAAGATAACTAGTGAAACAGATTCTTCCACGGGAGAATATCCATGGGTTTTCAAATTTGTCTTCCCTTCTGCTATGGGACCCCAAAAAGACTTCTTGGGCTTGGCACCTGGGCATCTTATAGAACAGGAATGTCTAACACAAGGCTAGCGGACTGGATCCGGCCCACAATGTGGTTGGATTCAGCCTGCGGGACCGGCCTGGAAAATATAAGGGTCCGGCCAGCGTGGCTTCGGCCTGGTCTACCCAATGCAAAGAGCAGTTTGGGGAGTGGCATCAAGCTGGCCACGCCCAGCGAATGGCATCAAAATGGCCATGCCCACCCAGTTGGCCACACCCACCACGCCCCCCTGGGCCCCCCCGAGATCAACTACAGTCCTGATGCGGCCCTCAATGAAATTGAGTTTGACGCTCCTGTTATAGAACCACTCTCTCCAACCTGAATCAGCCCAACTGCCCAGATTATTTAGGGAGAAGCTCCTTGTGGTCCTTCACTTCCAGAAGATGACCGGAACTGAAGCCAGAAGGCCCTGCTTTTCAGGGGTAGAGTTTGGACCAGTCCCCACCCCTGATGACTTTTAGAAAGATGTTTAAAAACTGAGCTCCTTTGGAGAGTGCCGAGTTCATGACTTGCATCTTGTTTTATTTGTGGCCTTCCTTTTATTTTTGTGACTGTGGCCGAGAGGATCGTTACTGGCTCGTGGTTTTATGATTTCATTTTTAACGTCTAAAGTACCTTGGAGGTTTAAATTATTATTATTATTATTATTATTATTATTATTATTATTATTATTATTATTATTATTATGGCATCATGGAAGCTGCGGAGAGCTTTGGGATGGCAGCCTGATGTAAAAGTGCTATCTAAATAAATAAATCACACAACAACTACGAAGATTCAAAGAGCTTGGGTCTGTGGTACATCATAAACCTCTCTTTCTCCTCAGGTCCAGTCAACTAGAATCCCTCTGCGCTTTGCCCCCTCCCCAAATTCTTGGGTTTTTCTATCCTTAGATGTTAGATCTCCCATGCTGTCCTGAGGTTTAAAAAATAATTTAAAAAAAGAGTAAGAGGAAAGCGCTCAAATCCTCGACTATCATTCTGGCTCTTTCCTACTCAATGCTGACTGCAGATGACCTCCATTCCATTCCATCTCAGCCCCTCCTACCCCCCAAGTTAATTTCTTAAAATCTTTTCCTTTCACGAAACTAGGATGCTCGGATAAAAGAAATACTGGCGTTTAGAGACAGAATTAAAAATAAATGCTGACTAGGCATTTCTTCTATTTAATTATTCTTCAAGCCCAACCAGCAAGTTCCCTCCTAACCTCATTATTCTATTTTCTTTGTTCTACCAGACATTAACGAACAGCCCCACATCTTATACTATTTATATTTTTGGGGGGGGGGGTATTTGTGTTGCACCAGTCTTGGGGTGCTTCAAACTATTTCAGCAGACTTCAAAGTCACAGGCAAACACATGAGACGGGAGTTGGATAGATTGGCGAGTTCCGAGTTTGCTATTATGAAGTACTTGATCTATTGCCTTTCATAAGGAATATGGTGAGCCGCGGTGGCACAGTGGTTAGAATGCAGTATTTCTGCTGACTGCCCACTGACTGCAGTTCGGCAATTCTATCCTGACCGTCTTAAGGTTGGACTCGGCCTTCCGAGGTCAGTAAAATGAGGAGCCAGATTGTTGGGGGGCGATAGGCTGGCTCTGTAAACCGCTTAGAGAGGGCTGTAAAAGCACTGTAAAGCGGTATACAAGTCTAAGCGCTATTGCCATTGATCAGGAAGACCCCTACCTGGGACATTCAAACTTTCTGCTCATCTAGAAATTGACAATGCATCACTTCCACCGCACAATTGGCAGTAATTATTTTTTAGGGCAGCCATCTGATTTAAATAACCTTTTTGATCCACACCTAAGGGCCAGAAATGGATTCAAAAAGGTTTGACAAAACCAGATGTAAAATCTACGGAGGGGGAAAAAGTAATAATACTGAACAAGCATCATCAATGGTCTCTTAAAGGACTGGCATATGATTTCATTCTCCAGCAAAGATAATAAACACAATCAGCCCTGTTAGTCCAAACAGCACCTGGAACATAAGTGCAAATTACTGAAACATTATTGCACATTAGAAAGAGAGAGGTGTTCTACGGTATATTTTTTTCCCATTCCACTTTCATTTCCATTTGCTTAGCCTGAATGGCAATTCTGACAAATTCCTTAGGATCAAAATAAAATGTTATGCTCCTGTCCTGTGAACGCAGCATCATGGTTACAGTGAGTGAAATAATACTGGTTAATTTTTGTGCATGCTCAAATCATATAATGGGCGGGGGGTGGGGGTTAGTTTAGAGAAATTAAATCTAGTTCCAAGCAACCTCTCTTTTTCTTGTATTTTTAATCACAAATATTTCAGCTTTTAAGGTATTGTACAGATCTGAGTAGAGTTTTTTTTCCCCCTTTTAATCTCTCAAATGCTTTGAAAGGTCTTCCTTGCAGTTCACATGCAGCTACGGTAAGGTGGCTGTTAATCCAGAAATCAGATAATCCACCAAGGGAACTGGCTTTGCATAATGGGCAGCTTTACATTAAGTGTCACGGGCTGATCAGAAAAATCAGCTAACACAATCTGTAGAAGCAGATATCACCAATATTGTTAACATGTTCTCCTCTTTTACTTAATCCACTAAGTGTAAGGTCTTGGATTCACGTTGAATGTTACTGGAAAGCAACATTCAAGTTTATGAAATCAAGACGGCTGTGTGTTCAGTGGCATATTCACTTTCTGAAGAATGTTGTTAGAACAGTGTAATTTTCCCCCTCTTCCATTCATGTATGCAAACTACTGAAAAACTACTACATTCCTCTCGAGAAGTCCAAATGTCCAACTTCTCCCCCACCCTTTTACCTCTTCGTGTGCAACTGGGTTTGGAGAGATGATGGTCTCAGGAGATAGTATTCAAAGCCAAAGTTGGATAGAAACAGAGCAGTTGTATAAATAAAGTACTGATATTGCCTTTTGAAACAATTGTCAAGAGCCATAATAATCTTTTCTTTAAAACAAAATCCATCTAAAAGAAAATCTTTTCCACTAGAATCTGATCTGCAACTATAGCATACATATACATATATTTGTTTTACGTATCTTTTATTTCTAAATGTAAAAATATCATTTTTTTCTTTTTTTAAAAAAGCTACTTACTGGAATGAGTCAGAGTGAACTGTGAATGTATATCTTTTAAACCACATTGGGCTTTTTATTTTTTAAAAAAATTCTTTTTCATATATTAATCCGTTGATATATAATGCAATTTTTAAAAATCTACCAGGTTGTGTCAACCAGCCAGTGATCCAGAACTTCTATCTAAGAAGGGAAGTGGAATTAAGCCACACCTTGCAATGGTGCTTCAGTATTTTGATTGTATAATATAACTCACTGAAACAATACTGATGTGGAACACAAGCAGTCTTCCATCTATTTGACTATTAAGTTAATTAACTCTTTAGGACAGCCAGTGCTAAGACATAATCACGGACGGATATATCAGTTCCAAGACTTTTCAAGTGGTCTCTCTGGTGGATACACTGTATATCTTGGGTCAAGTTCTGGACAGAAATCCTTAAAATTCTTAGATGCTTCAGTACCAAATGTATCCAATATTTTTCTGTTCATGACACCGAATCTAGAAAATGAAAGATCCAAAATTAATTTTCTATATAACTCAGGGAATAAAGCAACAAAAAACAAGATTATGAACTCTGTAGTATGAATTTAACTTTTTTTTCAGAAAAAAAAAAGGAAATTAGAACCATGTTCATCCCACTGAAAAACAATCCTGAAATTATATATATTTATTATAAGAAGCATGCAGTGATATATAATGAGAAATATAATAAACATGCTACTATGTTTATACACTACTACGGTAAAATGATAAGAAAGGACAAACACATTTTTAAATAAACCCAACTAAAATGTTCTTTACAGTAGTCTTGGTGAGAAGTTGTATCCCGTTAAAGGCCTTCAAAAATTTCAGATGTTAGATTAACAGAGTTGGAAGGGACCTTGCAGGTCATCTAATCCAACCCTCTGCCCAAGCAGGGGACCCTACACCATTTCTGACAAATGGCAGTCCAGTCTCTTCTTGAAAGCCTCCAGGGATGAAGCTGTTTGATATATTTTTTCTCCAATGTTTCAAACAAACTATTTTATTAGACTTCTTATATAAGACTAACCAACTTTCAGTGAATGTTATTTCTGTTAGCCAAGTAGACGAGAAAAGGTTGCAATCTGAAATATTATTCTATTTCTGTTTGGGACTAATGAAAGTTTAAAAAAAAACATACAAACTAAAAATTTTGGTAAAATTGTGACTCTTTGTCTGAATCATTGCTTTTCTGGGCACAACTACAAATCTTATGTACTGAAGGACAATTCTGTTCATGAAAACTGTGAAGGAACTCTAAGATCACAAGCAAAACTAGGAAACTTAAGAGAAAACCCAGTCTTCATGTAAGCTTTGCACTGGTAGAATGGTTTTTATTTTAATTTTAAATCATGTTGATTGACCATGTTGACATTTAACACAAAATGCCTTTAAAAAGAAAGTCTGGTACCTACCATGTTTCTTACAGAAATGGACATTGAGACCAAAAGGTACTTTTCCCCAAAAGCAACTGGACTTTCCTGTTAGTTTTTCTTTTCTTTGAAAAATTTTCATTTCTCATCCAAGGAGCTTCCAAGAAAGTCCAGTTGCCTTTTGGATAATAGCACCTTTGGGATAACCATGACCTGGATGATTGAGAATCTCCATGGACATGTCACCACTGAGAGTTACTCACCTTCCTTTGGTTAATCGCAATAGGAATTTCCAGTACGAAGGTCTCAGATTCTGGACTTCCATCACAGCCTAAAACAAAAAACAAATATATATATATGGCTTTAACTTGGGAATTCAATTCGATATTTTGCTATAGTCACCCCACTCCACCAGACTCTGGGCAGCTTACAAAATGCGGCCTTCCTCCCTCCCCTCCAAAAAAACTCCCCAATTAAAACAGTTAGCAAACAGACTAAAATAATCAGAACAACAAACAGCACATATATATGAACAATTAAACCCAGCTTGGGATCAGAGTCAGATCTTAATGACTTCCTAGAACCCAAGGAGAATGGGCACCATCCATATTTCAGAGAGGGGACAGATGATGTGATGTTCCAGAGGGCAAGGACTAAAAACAGAAAAGGCATTCGCCCTTAGTCCCTCAAGGTAGCAAAAAAAGAGATCTGGAATGGACTCATTTGCACTCCAGGCAGGCAGAAACAATGGAAGATAGCAATAGCGCTTAGACTTATACACCGCTTCACAGTGCTTTGCAGTCCTCTCTAAGTGGTTTACAGAGTCAGCCTCTTTGCCCCCAACAATCTGGGTCCTCATTTTACAGCCTGGTAAGATTTGAACTGCCAAATTGCAGGCAGTCAGCAGAAGTAGCCTGCAATACTGCCTTCTAACCACTATGCCCCTATGGCTCATGCACCTATAAAGTCCTTTCTGGCATAGTATCTTATTATGTGAGCAGCCATCTATCTTACCGGCTCAAGGTTGACTCAGCTTTCCATCCTTCCAAGGTGGGTAAAATGATTGTTGGGGCAATAGGCTGAATCTGTAAATCACTTAGAGAGGGCTGTAAAACACTGTGAAGCAGTATACAAGTCTAAGTGCTATTGCTATCTTGAATTGCACTCAGAAGCCTACTAGCAATCACTGACCTTGTGTACCACCTGGGCATCACATGAAGGGCTTATAACAATTAGCCACAGCCATATAGCCCTTGCCAACTTGCTATGGCCAAATCACACTGGAGCACACTGGGTTGGGTAAGACATTCTTATAAATACCACTAATCCATCATCTCTCACAAAGATCAACAATCCTGGCCTGGATGCAAAGCATTTGCGCTATTATGCTAGCACTGCTTCTTGGATGTTAAATCATACAGTTGCTGAATAAAACATGCAGAGCTCAAACGTTGGCGGTTTCTTCCAAGTTCACTGATATATGCTACCTTACAATGGGGTGAGCTGTGTAACATGAAAGTAGTTGTGTGCCATGTTTTTAGGCCATAGTGTGGAATAAGCTCACCCAAGATGATTGGGCGAACAGATGTGGTGAATCACTGCAGTTGTGAAGTCCTTGGGGCTTTCTGTGCTTGGTGGGTTTCCTTGCAAGCATTTCATTGCTAAATTAGGTAATATCGTCCGTTCACTGAGAATGTTATCTAGTTTGGTAATGAAATGCCAAACTGAGAGAGCACCAAGGACCTCTCAATTCAATCCTGAACTACAAAATATTTTCCTCATAAATATCAATAAGGTTGTTTGGGCTGTTGGATGATGTCCCGAGGAATGGCAGGTTTGATCATCTCTTCTTCTCTCGCAGCCTGAAAATATTAACAAAACCTCTTAAAAGTAAAATAGAGTCAAGCAGCCATTGTATGAATGAATGTCTAGGACAAACTGCCCTACCTACATCCCTTTTACTTGACTTAATGAGCAACGTTAGACATAAGCAAAAGTGTTCGAACCCGAAGGACAAAAACTTACAGCTTGGAAGCAGATGGCAGTGGATACAGCATAGATTATACTGTCTGCATGAGGGAAATAAGGAACCTTTCCAGCTTCAATGCCTTTGAAATACATAGTCTATAAAATTTAAAAAACACACACATTAAATGCACATGCACAAAAATCAAGGAAGCAAGGGAATGAGTTTCTAAAAAGATCAATGATGCAAAGCTAGGCACAAGAAAAATGACCCATACAAGAAGTCTTGGCCCCACGAGGCTTTTTAAAAAGCAGTAGTGGAATCAGTTGGGTATAATCCCCAAATATCCCTATGAATGGTTGGTTCATTCATAGTTAATGAAGATCACTGGTGTGAGTATTTTAGACTGTGGGCATAATGGCCTTATCTGAAAAGGAAAAAAAAAAAACCCTCTTTGGGTGGTAAAATGTATTACAGGTAGTCCTCGACTTACAACTACAATTGAGCTCTAAATTTCTGTTGCTAAGCGAGACAATTGTTAAGTGAGCTTTGTCCCACTTTACAACTCTTCTTGCCAGAGTTGTTAAGTAACTCACTGCAGCTGTCAGGTTAGTGACATGGTCGCTAAGTGAATCTGACTTCCCCGTTGACTTTGTTTCTCAGAAGATTGAAAAAGGGGAAATCACGTGACCCCGGGACACTGTGACCCTCATAAATAGGAGTCAGTTGGCAAGCATCCAAATTTTGATCCTGTAACCGGGGGGTTGCTGCGAAGATTGTAAGTGTGAAAAATAGTCCTCAGTCACTTTTTTCAGTGCCGCAGAAGAAGATAAGATTGGATAGGAAAGAAATAGGAAAGGGAATGGGAATAGGAATAGAATAGCATAGGAAGGGAAGGGAAGGGAAGGAATAGGAAAGGAATGGGAATAGAATACCATAGGATAGGATAGGAAAGGGAATGGGAATAGGAAAGGAAAGGAAAAAAATAAGAAATGGGAATAGAACAGCATAGGATAGGAAAGGAAAGGCAAGGCAAGGCAAGAACTAGGAAAGGAATGGGAATAAGAAGAGAAGAGAATGCAGAAAAAATGCAGAATAGAACAGAATTCTTTATTGGCCAATTTTAATTATACGCACAAAGAATTTGTCTCTGGTTCATAAACTCTCACTGTACATGCAAAACACAAAAGTAATGTAATAATCATAATAACAATATTATTTATTATATTATTATATACAATATTATTATTATTTAGTCTTTAACCTTAGACTGTCTACTATTGACCTCACCCCTTCCCTAAGAGGTCTTTAGGGGACGTGCATAAGCCGACCAACGTGACTACCGTCCCTGTCCTATTGTTTCTTTTATTTTTCTTATATGTATCCATGTATTTATAACTATGTTTTTACTTATTTCTAATATCTTGTAAGCAATTGACAAATAAAAATAAATAAATAAAATAAACAATAACAATGGATTTAAAACTCTCAAGAGTTCATCCAGAATCTCTCTCTAAGAAGCAACCCTGCAGACTAGCTAAGAGCTAGATCCTAATATTTTTTAAAATACATGGTTGGGAAGCTTGACCCGGAGTATCATTGAATGTAACTAATTCTGCCATTCCTGAGGAAAAGATATTCTGTCAGCGCAAAGAGGCTTACCTCTACTAGTTTGGAAGCCAGGTACATTGAAATAGTTGTGCTTCTGTAAAACATCATTGACAGTCCTGCTAGGGGCCCTGTGTGATTGAAAAGAAAAGAAAAGAAAAGAAAAGAAAAGAAAAGAAAAGAAAAGAAAAGAAAGAAAGAAAGAAAGAAAGAAAGAAAGAAAGAAAGAAAGAAAGAAAGAAAGAAAGAAAGAAAAGAAAATTAGCCAAATTCTGGATACTGTACATGAAATTCTACTGTACATGAAATTCTACTGTACATGAAATTCTACTGTAGCAGTTCCCAAGTAAATAGACAGCAAGGGACTCCAGCTAGATTGAAAAAGGTTTATCTAGTTCATCCTGTCTCACCTTTGGGACAACTTGATGCCACTAAGACATCTTTGCACATTGAAGATTTATAAAGAGCTCAGGTACTTGAGGTAGAAACAGATCAGCCTTCCCTTTCCGATTGGCTCCACAGAATCATGTTGGAGAAGGCTAATATATTCCCGTAATGGTCAGGAGTCACTTAAAACTTGATGCTCTTGTCTGTCTACTCCCATTTTGAAGCCACTGCAAATGATGCATATCACATCACCGGTAGAGAATGCTACACTCCAGTCATGTGCAGGGCTGGGCTTCAAAAATTTTAGCCTGATTGCTGGGTGGGCGTGGCCATGGCGGGTATGGCCTAGTCAGCCTCCTACTCCATTTTACCCTCCCCGAGCCTCCATGCGTGTCCTGCACTTACCTGCATCCAAAACGGGCCGTGTGGGGTCTCCTGGAAGGGGTGTGCGGGGGCGGGGCCAGTCAGGAGTAGAATTTGGGGGTTCTCCAAACTGCACAGAATCTTAGCTAGGGGTTCTCCCGAACCCCTGCGAACCCCCTAGCAGCCCAGCCCTGGTCATGTGCTATGTGAAGAAGTGATTCCTTTGGTGTTGTCCTAAATCTTCCATCACTCAGAGCCCTTGGATGAATGTTGATTTTCAACACCATGAGAATAGGTGGGAAAAGATACCACCATGATAACATAGCCCCCACACTCAGTCTGCTACTTAACTCATCCTCGATTTACAACAGTTCAATAAATGACTGCTCCAAGTTACAAGGGCACTGAAAAAAGTGGCTAGTGACCATTTTTTCAGAGTTACAACCTTGGGCAGCATCCCCTTGATCACGTGATTAAAATTCAGGTGTTTGGCAACTCGGTCACATTTATGATGGCCGCAGTGCCCTGGGGTCATGTGATCACCTTTTGGGACCTTCTGACAAGCAACGACAATGCGGAAAGCCAGATTCACCTAACAAGAAGGTTGCTAACTTATCAACTGCAGTGATTCACTTAACGACTGAGGCAAGAAAGGTCATAAAATGGGGCATAATTCATTTAACGAAAGTCTCAACAACAGAAATTTTGGGCTCAATTGTGCTAGTAAGTCAAGGACTACCTATAGACTAGTAACCGTTCTATCCTCTGTCCCTTCTCCCATTATTTCTTAGTATACTTTTTTTTTGTATTCTTTTACAAGTTCTCTTTGGGACGCGGTGGCTCAGTGGCTAAGATGCTGAGCTTGTCAATCAGAAAGGTCGAAAGGTCGGCGGTTTGAATCCCTAGCACCGTGTAACGGAGTGAACTCCTGTTACTTGTCCCACTTCTTGCCAACCTAGCAGTTCGAAAACACGTAAAAATGCAAGCAGAAAAATAGGGACCCCTTTGGTGGGAAGGTAACAGCGTTTCGTGTGCCTTTGGCGTTTAGTCATGCTGGCCACATGACCACGGAGACGTCTTCGGACAGCGCTGGCTCTTCGACTTTGTAACGGAGACGAGCACCGCCCCCTAGAGCTGGAGACAAACTAGCACGTATGTGTGAGGGGACCCTTTATCTTTAGAAGTTCTCTTGGGGTTCCTTCTGTTCTTACAACTTGTTCTAACGTTACTCTCAGTTCCAACATCCTGACTTTTCAATACTGCAAACATTCTGTTCCACACATGGCCTCCATGCCAACTTTGTGTATTACTTTATAATTTTATAATTTTTCAAGGCTTCCCTGCAATCATTTATGGAGGTTCCAGGTTCTGCGCTATCAGATGCACAACATTATTCTCCAGAAAGTATCAGGAGGCATTTCACTCTTAGGGAGAGGCATGGAAACTACTAACTATGGGAATCTGAGTCTCTACTGTTGGGAGGAAATGTAGATTTACCTGCAATGAGTGCGTGTACTTCATCGTCCAGGTTCCGTACCCATCGTAGGAAACAGCTTGTACCCTGCATTTTTAAGTAATCATGGCAACATTTTTGTCATTGCAACGCAATAATCTAGTAACAAAGATCCCAATAACAGACTTAGAATTTAATCAAGCCAAGAAAACAGCTGATTATGGTTTCAGCTTTGAATGTTATTTTATAGCTATCCTGTGCTATGAATTATAAAATAAACTAAGCACTGTATGTGGATATGCGTTAAAGGCTGGTTCAACAGGAGAAAGCAAGGTTTTCGCTGTGCACTGAAGCTAGCAAAAAAACCCAAACGGGCATATATAGGAAGTGGGATTTGCTTTCATAGCAAACCTAATTGTTGTGAGGAAAATAGGAGGAGTTATTTGTAAAAATAATGGAAGCGGGAAATGAGAGATAGGTAGGTAGGTAGGTAGATAGACAGATAGATGATAGATAGATAGATAGATAGATAGATAGATAGATAGATAGATAGACAGACAGACAGACAGACAGACAGACAGACAGAGATAAATAGATGGTGGATAGACAGATGATAGGTAGATAGATAGATAATTAAATTGATTAAAAAATAATTTTAACCAAACAAATAACATAAATTCATTAAGATTTAAGTTAATTAAAAATATTAGAGGTTGTTTTATAATAACCACTTAACTAAACTTCCATTCTAAGCTTCCATTCTAAGCTTCCATTCCATGATAATACTGACCTTTTTTAAAAAAACCCTCACATTTTCAGTCCTTGTTTTTCCCTCCTGGCTTACTGAGTAATGGAATGTTATAAAGACTTAAGAAAAAAGAGAAAGCAAAATCATGTGAATTTCCACCTTGCCCCTATTAGGGAGGTTACGAATTGCTGACAGAAACCCACCAATTTCCCTCTCATGCTCACTAAGGAGCATTAAGCCTTTTATCCATATTAGGTTTTAAAAAAAAACGGGTTGGTTAGTGCCATCTTATTTTTCTTTACCCCTTCAAAATTGTTCGCAAATAACATGTTTAATTTAGCTTCAAGAGACACTCTGAACAATAAAGGCACTTTTAGTTAAAGGGTTGCAACGGCGGCAGCTGCTGTGGCCAGATGAGGAGCTTAGCATAATCACGTTCTAATTTTTCAGCACTTTTGAAACCTACTTTGTATATGCTGACGAATGACCCAAGGAAAGCTCCAAGCTGGAAGTTTTCTTTGTTGTAGAAAAGCGAGAGAAGCCGGGATGGTTTTGTAAATAGATGTCGGAACGCAGATGGGATGCGAAGGCAACACTGGATCAAGTATCCGACGCTAAACATCCTAATGAAGCCCTAGAATGTGCCATGAGAGAGAGAAACACACAGTCTCAGGAACTCCACTCACAAGGAATAACTGTAATATCTACTCACCAGGAATTATAATTAAATGCCTTTGTTGTTCCGACTTGTTTTCTCTCAAAATGTTATTATTGCATCAATCTGGTTTGTTTCCTATTCCTCACCCCAAGTACCGTTCTATAGTCTGCACGGTACACTGTAATACAGGTAGCCCTTGATTTATGACCACAACTGAGCCCAAAATGTATGTTGTTAAATGAGACATTTGCTAAGTGAATTTTGACCCATTTTACAACCTTTCTTGCCTCAGTCGTTAAATTAATCGCTGCCGTTGGTAAGTTAGTAACCTGGAGGTTAAGTGAATCTGACTTTGCTGGTCAAAAGGTCACAAAAGGTCGCATGATTCTGGGACACAGCAACGGTCGTAAGTATGAACCGGCTGCTAGGCATCCAAATTTTTATCACATCATCATGGAGATGCTGGAAAGGTTGTTAAGTGTAAAAAATGGTCATAAGTCACTTTTTATGAGGAGTACCTATCACCATCTTCTTTTAATGACCCCATAATCCTTTGTGGGGTGGAGTCTGGGCAACTGAATGGAGCTGAGTGATTTACTGGCTCATTGCCCTTCCTGTCGCCAATGCGGAGTTATATTCAGCAGATATATTCTCAATGTGCCCAGAGAGAGAAATATCTGCCGCTACCTAGGATCAAACTCATACCTCCTGATTGTGAGGCGAGAGCTCCATCTCTAGGCCACTGCACCACTCACGAGGAGTACCTATATAGATACTTCTCAACTTACAACCATCTGTTTAGTGACCGTTCAAAGTTACAACTGCACTAAAAAAATGACTTATGAATAGTTGTAAGTGTGACTTTTTCACACTTACAACCATTGCAGCATTCCCACAGTGAGGTGATTTAAAATTTGAGAGTTGAGCAACTGGTATGTATTTATGACAGCTGCAGCGTCCCAAAGTCAAGTGATCATCATTCAAACCTTCCCAGGTGGCTTCCAACAAACAAAATCAATGGGGGAAGCCAGGTTCACTTAATAACCATATGGTTTACTTAACAACCACAGTGATTCGCTTAACAAGAGTGGCAAAATAGATGATAAAATGAGGCACAATTCATTTAGCAACTGTCTTGCTTAGCAACGGAAATGTTGGCCTCCATTGCGATACTGTAACTCAAAAGACTACCTATATTAACTCTAACCCTTTTTAGGTATTTTAGAATTATCTATTATTTTTCCTTTTATCTTAGATTAAGGGTGACTCTTGTGTCTTATTTGTTGGTCATCTAACTAACTATCGAAATGCAGACTTGATTTATATTGAAAAACATCAGATACTGGACTGGTTTATGCCCTCAGCTTACAGCCGGTCACAGTCACAACAACGTCAGTCTGAAGTAGGACTCTGCAAGTCACACTAAGGGGAGTATCCCCCCACCTCATTTGATTAAGGAACATTTGCTTTCAAATATCTTGACAGCTAGTAAAGTTGTTTGAGAACGGGGGAATCTGCCTAAACTTTCATATTTACTTGAAGTTCGGTATTCTGTGAGCAAGGAGGAAGAGAAAGAACCTGTTTTAGCACTGACGACAGCAAAGTACCCCTTTTCCCCGAAAATATGACCTACCCTGAAATTAAGATCCTTCCCACTCCTGAGTACACAGGTAAAAATTAAGCTAGGGTGGGGATAGGGGGAGTGGAGCTGCCTAACTACTTATCTTTGGACAATTGAAACCAGGCCTTGCACTTGCCTTGCCAGCCCATTTCTTCTGCAGCTGGCAAGGCTGGCAAGACTATCCTGAAGGCCTCTGTAGCTGATAACAAAGCTCCGGATCGATCCAGAGCTCTGCTATCAGCTGCAGAGGCCTTCGGGAAAACCTTGCTGGGCGCAGAAGAAGTTCCTGAAGGCCTCTGAGAGCGAAAAGGAGGCCACGGGTGATGCAACGCAAGTGAGGTTAGCCAGTGGATGACATCCCCCCAAAATAAGACCTGGTGCCTTTTTTGGTGTCAAAATAATAAAACAGGGTCTTATTTTCAGGGAAACACGGTCGGAGAAACAATAATGCCATAAAAGGCTCAGGTGCTAAGGAGGATAGGCAAGATCCTAGGTGTCTAGTCATCCATCTGACGTTACGGCCTGTCTTACCTCTGTTTATTCTGCCTCCAGGTCATGTCCATACACCATCTTAAACCACATCAAGGTTCTCAGGAATGTTCTTTCAACTTTCTGCCTATGCATTAAGAGTAGCATTTTAAAAACCTGGCAACTTGTGTGGACTTCAACGCCTTGAATTGCTGGCTGGAATTCTAGGAAATTGAAATCCACACATCTTAAAAGTTGCCAGGTTTGAAAAACATTGTAGATTTGTTGTTGTCCTCTTTCTTAAGAGCCTGCCATTCTGAACATTTCTTTTAGCCTTCACGTAATGTGATTCTTGGGAATCTGCAGGAGTCCTTTGTAAGGCTGTCAAATCAGATTTCTAAACCCTTCTCTCTCTCTCTCTCTCTCTCTCTCTCTCTCACACACACACACACACACACACACACACACACACACACACACTAGTGCCAACGTGGCTAAGTGCAAGAGCAAAGCATAGTACAACTTATCTGAAAGCAAACAGCTCCAGAATTAGATGACGCAAGCTACCAAACTGAGCCAAGAAAAAGGCAAAACAATTTCAGTGTCATTAATCTCAAGGAAAATTCCTTTGGACACCCCCTCCAATATGCAGACAAAAGTTGTAAATGTAAAAACTGTTTAAAGAAATTAATATTTTTTGCAGAGTTAATTTCCTTCCTATCTGTAACGCTGGCTCCCTCAGCTAGGAAACAAAATTGGACACAACTAGAATTGGACACAACTGGACAGAGAGAATCTTACATTTTTTCTATCTAAATGTACTGGATGACCACAAATTCATTTAGGATCATAAGTCCTTGACTTATGATCCCATCAGAGCCCAAAATGTCTGTTGCTTAGCAAAACAGTTGTTAAATGAATTTTGGCCCATTTTACGACCTTTCTGGCCACTGTTGTTAAGAGAATTACTGCAGTTGTTAAGTTAGTAACATGGTTGTTAAGTGAACCTGGCTTCCCCATTGACTGTGGCTTGTCAGAAGGTCACAAAAGGGAATCACATGACCTCGGGACACTGCAACCATCGTAAATATGAGTCAATTGCCAAGCACCTGAATTTTGATCACATGACCATGGGGATGCTGCAACGGTCATAGATGTGAAAAATGGTCATATGTCACTTTTTTTCAAGTGCCGTTATAACCTCAAATGGTCACTAAATGAACTGCTGTATGTCAAGGGCTACTTGTACATATATTGTGAGTTTCATCCAACTTAATGCAACTAGCATCCAGCTAAAGGTGTAGAACCTGGGTATTCTGGGTACCATCAGATCTCTCTATCGATAGCACACAGAGTTTTATTTCCTCTTTGGTTCTTTAGCCATATATTTAGTCATATATGATACTTACTTTATCGTAGTAACTTGGAATAATATATTTTTTTCAATACTTAAAAAAGGTAGAAAAGGGGGCAATTGTAGGTTGATCCACGTTGTTCACGAGTGAAAGAGGGAATGCCAGAAAAAGGTGATGCATAAAGAAGTACAGCAATGGCAAGGCAACCTCTTTGGCAGAAAGGAAAGCTATGACAGGTAAGAAAAAGTGCTGGTAGCTGTTCTTTCCAGATTAAAGAGGCTACTGTCCCATTAAGAAAATAAAACCACATCAGGCTTTCCTTAGCAAACAGCAGCTGCTAATTCTGTCCAAAGATCTCCATACAACATGAGCGTCAAACTCGCCAACATGTTGCCGTCACATGACATATCGCAACGTTTTCCCCCTTTGCGGAGCTGGGATGGGCGTGGCCTGCACATGATGCATCCAGCCCGTGGGCCGCCAGTTTGACACCCGCCTTAGAAGAATATCAGAATTGCTTGTCTTCGTCTAAAAAAAATCTCAATCCCCATGTTTCCAACCAGAAGGAAATGATCTTAAAGAAACTGAATTTTGCCTCAATTAATATGAAATAGGAACAAAACTGGCCAACGCTGCCAGGATTCATATCACCCCTGCAGTCCTCAGTTCTTAGCCTATTTAATTTTTGTAATTTTAAGTTTTCCTATATTTATAATTGTTTTTATATCTACTCTCTTATTGTATTTTAAGCAGCCCAGAGTCACTTTGGACAGCGAGATGGGGAGTATATACATTTAACCAATAAATAATAAATTGACAGGTTTCCTTTTAAACACCCCAATTTCAAATCAAGATAGGCAAAAACTACGGCTTCTAGGTTCTCAAAGAAGTAAAAATTAAAAAAAAAAAACCCAACTCCAAGGAAAGAGAAGATTTTATTGAATAGGAAAAGAGAGAGACAATTTGCAAATGATCCTGGGGCCAACTGGCAAGACTGTAGGGACACCAGCCTCCAAAGGAACCACAACTTCAAAGGAGAAATATCAGGTGTGGTCTCCAGAATTAGGGACAAAGAAGGACTATCCAATATCCAGCTAACACGGAAATTTTAATCCTGTACTTCACAACACTTCCATTCAAGCTAACAAAATAAGTGTACAAACAGATGAATGTCTGATGACATCACCTGCTAGAACAACTGGCACAGACATCTTAAAAACTCAAAGTTTACCACTCCTTTACTACTCAGATTGGCAGTAAAGTTGTCAAGGATAAAGATGATCTGAGTCTTTGGGGGATCATGAGGTACCTAAACTCCAATATCAATGACTGAGGAATAATAACTAGACACTCTCTCTCTCTCCCTCTCTCCTTTTCTCTCTCTCTCTCTCTCTCTCTCTCTCTCCCTCTCTCTCTCCTCCCTCCCTCCTTCTCTCTCTCTTGTCCTGTTCAAGAGTTCCTTGGTTGATTATTGTGAGAAAGGGAACACAAGCCTCATTTACAATGACCCTTTCAATTTCTTGACTTTCAAGGAGGTTGTTTTCTATTTTTAAATGGAGCACTTAAAAAATCTTGATGATTTATTTATAGTGCTGATTACTCTGTATTACTTTACAGGGCCAGGGTACAAGAATTCTGGGTGTGATTAAAGAGGCTAGTGTGTGCTGGTAGCCGTGAGGGAAGTAATTGCTGAAAATATGTCTAGGCAATGAAATTTAAGCCCCATTACGTGAGACTATTGTGAACAAAATCAATGCAAGAGGTTTGCAATTAAAGCTAACCAACAACAGCCTCTTGTGTTGATTATTAGAAGTTTGGATTGTAGTGGTATGTGGCTGGCTGTAATCTGCTGTAAGAGCTGATACATAGGAAGTAGAGAAGTCTTGCTCAGCACAAAAACTCAACAAACACACTGTGTCAAAATATGCAAGCTACTGAATTGCATCTTGTCTTCCATGTGCTGGTTTATTTATTTTTTAACCTACTGTTGAAAAGCCAAACCACTTGACTCTGAATGGAAGAAATAATAGGGGCAAATAAAACCTTTTCCCTCAAAAGCCAGTTTGCCCAATAAATATTACTTTCAAAATCCAATTTTAAAAATCTGCCGGAGTCCTGCCAAAGAAAGTAGAAGCAGGTGTTCATACTTGTTCCAATCAAATTCCAGCCAAAATAATTTTCCTGCAGTTATGGAAAGAAAGCACTTACTAATCACATTCTGGATGAGGATAAATTATACCCCTGCACAACGACTGCTCTTCATTGTAGGCAACAATTGTGGATTTTCTCCCGCTATCCTTAAACTACATATTGTAACTGTAGTTACAGTATGTATATTGTATATTCACAAGTTGGCTTAAAAAAAAAATAATTGTCCCAACACAGAGAAAAACAATGCAGCTGTATGGATGAGCTGCTGAGGACAGCACATTCCAAATACTTGAGCCAATATGGGGGACCAGTGAGATCTGTTACATGGTTTCTGGGCATAATTTAATTAGTCAACACACATAAGACCTTGCTTTTCAATGACTTGAAAAGCTTATCACTGACACCAATGGACCATTTCTTCCACCTGCAAGGCAACAGCCGAGCCAAAGGAAAGATTCACTTGCTAAAGCTACACTCTTTTGAAGATGCTTGCTTAAGGAAGCTGGTTACCAAATAAATTCCTATAACCAGAGTTGCAGAAGCTGCTAATTCCCTGCATCTGCTAGTGTATACCAGGGTGTCAAATTTGGGGTGTCATGTTGTCATCACGTGACGTATCGTGACTTTTCCCACCCTTAACTAAACCGAAAGGTGGGCATGGCCAGCGCCTGATGCACCAGCCCGTGGGCCGCGAGTTTGACACCCCTGGTGTATACCTCCCGATGCTCTACTTAAAAAGAAAATAAAAAATACAATTACTGCAATGGCTAACAATCTAGTGTTTTCTCCGCAACAGTCAAGCAAATGCCTCAAAAATCAATAAAGGCTGGGGACGCCATTTTGTTTGTCCGGTTGCTATAGCATCATGAGGGTTATAATCGTTATGCAATGTATACCCCTAAAGACGGGGGTGTCCAACCTTGACAACGTTAAGACCAGTGGACTTCAACTCCCAGAATTTCCCAACCAGCTATGCTGGCTGGGAAATTCTGGGAATTGAAGTCCACAAGTCTTAACGTTGCCAAGGTTGAAAACCCTGCTCTAATATAGGTTGAATAAACTGCATCGGCTAAAATGTGCCCTATTGTTTTGGACAAAAAGCTTAAAAAGAAGATGAGACAGTTCTTGGGAGAAAGAATTCTTTGGAAAGGCATCACTAGGGCACCCAGAATTAGGGTAGTTCTCAACTTACAAGCACCACTGAACCTGCCAATTACTGTCATAAACTGTGAGGGTTGTAAAGTGGATCAGAACAGGTGGCCAACCTATATTTATACTTTTGTGGTGGTTATTAAGCGAACACTGTGGTCATTAAGCAAAACCTATTGTTTGCTATGGGGCGCTTTTGCCAGAAGTCAAAAGTAAAACCCTGGTTCGTGGAAGGGGGAAAATGTCGTAAACTGGTCATGTGACCATGGGAAGCTAGCCATGAATGTGGGTCATATCCCACGGTCTGAAATGTGATCACATGACCATGGGAAGTGTCCTTTGGAACAGTTTATAAATATTGTTTGGGGGGGTGTTCATTATAACTTTGAATCGTCCCTAGGTGGGCAGTCATAAGCCAAGGATTATTTGTATATAATATAAGATAGGCGTGCTGATAAAAACTCCTGATTGCAATCCAGTTTATCCATATCTCTTAGCATCTATGCGGATGTCCAAAGCTTACCAAAGCAATAACTTAAGGGGAATGCTTAAGCAGCTGACATATAAATGAATCTGATTTTCAGATAGAAGAAAGAAAGAAGTAAGAAAGAAAGTAAATATTTTTATTTGTGTGCACAACTGGTGTCTTACCCCTCAGCCCAGTGCCATCTATTAAGTTCTGCGTAACAAAACTCCCACTCGTATCCCTGGGAATTGCAGGCAGCTGTTAAAGATCATGTGTACATTTATCCAAGATGATTATCATACAAGAGGCTACAGTTTTAGTCCGTATATTCTGCCCATATGCTGCAGGTGACACATAACTAACATACCAAAATGAGATTTACATACCACAGTTTAATTAACTATGATACAGAGCCTGCATTTGGTGGGCTTTCCGCAACACACTGAACTGTATACCAGGGGTTCATCTGTTCTTCTGCCTGGGACCATATGTGGATCCATATGTTCAGGGGACATTGTGGCGATGCAGTTCTCTCACTAATAGTAGAGTAGAATTTGTAAATTGAGTGGTTGGAGGTTATTGGGGGCAAAAATAATTGGAAATTGGTGGCTAGTGATATTCATGGCAAAAAAAAAAAGAGCATGGCTTGTGTTTTGTCTATTACAGAGATGTCAAACTCAAGGCCCACAAAGGGGGCTTAGACCTGGCACACGGGGCCACCCAGAAAACAGTGAAGGATTGGCCCGGGGTGCTTCTGCCAGTAGAAATGGAGTTTAGGCCCTGTGGCCCTCACAAGCTCCATTTTTTTCTATGGTGCTCAAGCCACCATAGGTGCCCCCGACATGACTGACATGAAGGTGTCCACGCCCACCCCAGCCACACCCACCCCAGCTGCCCAAGGTCAAACACAAAATTTATGAGCCCCTCGATGAAATTTGAGTTTGACACCCCTGTTCTATTGCCTATCTCTGCGATGAACTATGGCTTACTAATTACAACTGCGACATCCAAATAATCTTAAGCGAAAAGAACGTGGCTTGGCAGACTACCTGACAAGAGTCATGTATAATTGACATTCATTCTAGGTCACCCTATCCAGTACTAGACCACAGATTAGGGAATTAAGAACAGGAACAACTCCATCGTAACTTTCACCCGTATTTGCCTGTTTAGTTTTCTATCTGCGAATGGAAGGGCTGGTGTTGACTCACTTTAATGCAATATGAGATGCAATTATCTTCGTAGTGCTTACAGCATCTGTGCCTGGGACCATTTTTGCATCTGAAAAAGCAAACAAAACAGTGTTGACTCTCTAGATTTCTTCCACATTTCACAGTTATATGTTCCATTTTTCTCCAACACATACAAAATATTCTCCTTTCAGTACTTCATTGTTTATACTTATCAAGTATTTATTTATGGTCCCAAGATACACCTGTACCTGTAACAGTTACGTTTTGTAAATGTGGCATAATTTATACAATAAAGGCAAAAGCTTTGTTCCAGAGCCCACAATGGGATATCACAAAGAAAACCATTAATAGGACACACACAAAAATTCTTTCTTCCCAGTTCTCCAAGAAATGGCATTAAAAACTATGAGGGGTCCTTGGTGCTCTCTGAGCTTGTTTTTCTTGCAGATGTTTCATTACCCTAACTAGATAACATCATCAGTGCTCATCAGTTGTATTCAGTTCTACCTTTATTGCCACAATTATTAAGCGAGTCACTGCCGTTATTTAAAGGGAATCACGGAATTCTTAAGGCTTCCCCCAAGAACTCTGCTTTGTCAACTTTGAAACAGATCAGAAGCTAGCTGGGAAGGTCTCAAATCTCCTGACCCTGGGATACATGTCTGTTGCCAAGCCTCCGAATTTTGATCACGTGGCTGTAAGGATGCTGCGATGGTCAAAAGTGTGAGGACCTATTGTAACTTAGAACCAAGGACTTACCTGTCCTTACTGTGTTTCCCTGAAAATAAGACGCTTTCTTTTTTTTTTGCCACCAAAAAGGTCTTATTTTCGGGGGATGTCATCTATTCACTAACCTCATTTGTGTGCGTCACCTGTGGCCTTCTTTTCGCTCTCAAAGGCCTTCAGGAACTTCTTCTTCTACGGCTGGCAAGACTTTCCTGAAGGCCTCTGCAGTCGATAACAGAGCTCTGGATCGATCCGGAGCTTTGTTATCAGCTCCAGAGGCCTTCAGGAAAGCCTTGCCAGCCCTGCTGGCTGCAGAAGAAATAGGCTGGCGAGGCAGGTGTGAGGCCTGGCTACAACTGTCCAAAGGTAAGTTGTAGGGCACCTCCACCCCACCACCCCCACCTTAGCTTAATTTTTACCCGTCTACTCTGGAGTGGGTGGGATCTTAATTGGGGCTTATTTTGGGGGGTAGGGCTTATATTGGGTGCGCGTATAAAAATCAAGCTAGGGCTTACTTTCAGGGTAGGTCATATTTTGGGGGAAACAAGGTATTTACTTACTCATTTACTTTCTAATTATACTTTCTGATAGCAATCCGGTGTCAGAAAACTAGGCTTTCAGCCTTATTACTAAGTCCAACATCAATCCCTTCTGTATCTTTTTAAAAAAATAGCAGTGGAAGAATATATGAATATGAGTATGGGTTCATTTTACCCCAGAAAAATAGCCTGGGACTTCCTCCCATGCCTTCACTTGGACCTCAGAACCTTGTTGCAAACCACACAATTATTCTGGACTGAACCAAAAAAAAAAAACCCTCAAGGATATCTTACAACTGCACCCTAAAGACCATGTAACCCCAATCCTCATTTCTAGGTTAATTTTATGGGGAGGAAAGGACCCTATCAGCTGAGTAATCTGCAGGTAGCCAGGAATGTGTTTGGCAGTGTTATATACACCTCCCTGAAGAAATATCACAGAAAAAAAATAGACACAAAGTTAGTTGGGAGATTGTATATTATTGCCTTTCCAGATCCAGCAGAGAATCTGTAAAGCCTGCCAAATGTATATTCTTCCAAGCTCGCAGGACTTCACTTTCCATGAGCATCGTAACAGTGCAAATGCTGTCAATGTGGGATTCCAGCAGTTTTATGGCAGAAAACTGGTAGAGGAATTGAAAATGATAGGGAGGGCTGTCCAGTTGTTAGACATTATCAGCTGGAATTACAAGGAAATCAATTTGATCCTGGTTCTAGAAATTAACATTTTTCTTGCGCTCAAATATTTGCAGCCCAGAGCGCAAAACAACATTATGCAATCTGCACGCTCTGCCAAATATTTTTTTTTTGGAAGCTTTTGAATTATGTGCTGCAAAATGCATTATTAGTCATAAATCATCCATCAGGTCAGTTTGTGTAGCAAAAAATGGTAATGAGGACACGATCAAGTTACAGACGTTTAGACTTAGCTCTATCTGAAAGGAAACATATGGGAGAGAAATATGATAAAAGGATTAAGAACTCAATGGTTTTTTTTTGGGGGGGGGGGCATGTGCAAATGGTACATTAGAAATGCCAAAGGAGGTTTATTCACCTTGTTTGCTGAATTTTCAAGATTCGTTTTTTTAAAAAAAGCCCTGCAGTGAAAGGATTTTTTTTTTAATGGAACTGGTAGAGCTTCTGACTGGGTGTTGATACCTTTTTGTTATTCTTTGGTTTATTTGCTGTTGAATAAAGTTTCTTATCTGGATTAACCCAAGCATGTACCAAATTGAGGTCTTCAATCCATGCCTACTAAAAATGGAACACTGGGTCTTTTTTATTTCTGGAACTTCGTAAGCTGGTTCACTCAAGGCAATATACCATGAAAAACTTGAGATTACTCATAGGGCAAGCACCAGGAATCTGGAGAATTCAGACAGTAAAATTTGGTAAAGAGAATTCAGTAAATGTGTGTCTGACGTATTTTCTCTTCTGCTCCGGAAGAGAATAAGACATTACATGATGGCGCAGTGGTTAGAGTGCAGTACTGCAGGCTACTTCTGCTGACTGCCGGCTGCCTGAAATTTGGCAGTTCAAATCTCACCAGGCTCAAGGTTGGCTCAGCCTCCCATTCTTCTGAAGTGGTAAAATGAGGACCTAAATTATTGGGGACAACATGCTGACTCTGTAAACTGCTTAGAGAGGGCTGTAAAGCACTATGAAGCGGTATATAAGTTTAAGTCCTATTGCTAGTGCATATTACTGGCTGGTGCTCCATTCTACTTTAGCGCCGTTCTACCTCAGCTCCTCCATTCTACTTCGGAGCGCAGGTTTTATTTAATCCTGCCTTTATTATTTGTATAAATAAATTACGGTGGCAAACATACCTAATACAGGTAGTCCTCAACTTAGTGACCATTCGAAGTTACAACGGCACTGGAAAAATGACCATTTTTCACATTTATAACCCTTGCAGCATACCCATGGTCACGTGATCAAAATTCAGATAGTTGGCAACTGGCATATATTTTTGATGGTTGCAGTGTCCCGGGGTCATGTGATCACCTTTTGTGATCTGACAACGAGGAAGCCAGATTCACTTAATAACCAAATTACTATCTTTAACAACTGCAGTTTTTCACAACTGTGGCAAGGAAGGTCATAAAATGGAACAAAACTCACTTAACAATTGTCTTGTTTACCAATGGAAAATTGGTCATAAACTGAGAATTATCTGCACCCCTTCGTCCTCCTATTTTCCCCACAACAATAACTTTATGAGGTGAGTTAGACTGAGAAAGAGTAACTGCACACAGTCACTCAGCCATAAGTTAATGTATAAGGCAGGACTAGAACTCACACTTTCCTGGTTTCTGATGCCTTAAACCACAAGACCAAGTTGGCTCTCAATTTACAGAAGGCCAATTGGGTCCTTTAATTGAAAAGACCTGGCCTGAAATCTAACTTTTCCATCTAAAGCCAAAACAGATGAGAAATAAACACGAATAAATGGAAACATGCTAAGTATGCATAGAATGTGTTCCTCTATGTATATATAGAGCCGGGGTGGCGCAGTGGTTAGAATGCAGCATTGCAGGCTGACTTTGCTCATTGCCAGAAATTCGATCCTGATCGGCTCAAGATTGACTCAGCCTTCCATCCTTCCAAGGTCGGTAAAATGAGGACCCAGATTGTTGGGAGCAATAGGCCGACATTGCAAACTGCTCAGAAAGTGCTGTAAAGCATTATGGAGCGGTATGTAAGTCTACGTGCTACTGCTATATAATGGTAGCAGAGAGAGGTGTGTAAATATCTCATGTAAGCAACACAAATATTGGGGTCAACATAAAAAAGGGGCAGTGCAACATTACCATTGCACAAGATAACGGAAAGATGAAAACAGACATTACAAAAAAATAAATAAACATTTTGCACTCACATATTGTCCACCATTTTTTTTGTTGCAGCAATAAAATTCATTTGCTGTGTTATATCTTCGCAGTGTTTTATTTTAATTTCTTTCTTTACAAAAACTCCTTCCGGTACATAGGAATGGGTGGGAATTTCTTCTTTCCCTACAATGAATCTGATAAGAAAACAGAACACATTTCTTAGCTACCTGAGCTCCACGGCTCCTTCATAATGTACGCTGCAATTGCTTCTGATTATATTGCAAGATGCGATACTTACAGTTTAAAGCTATTATGGTGTTTTCTAACGTATTGGTTTGTTGCCTGACTTGTTAGCTCTACATATGTACAAAACAATGTGTTGTTTTGCAAAAATAGGAAGCCTGCTTATTATAAGAGTTAATATTCCATTGTAAATGTACTACTGATGATCACAGGGACAGTCTGGAAAGTTTAAAAAATGTACTTCTCTATATATGAAACGTATACAAATACTGATGTCTGTTTTTTCATCATTTTTAAAATCACATTTCTGTGAAGTCGTAACTACTTTATATATTGTGGCCATCTAATACAGAAACAAGGTAACCAAGAGAAAGTGAATTGCCAGAATGTAATGCAGATAGTCCTTGATTTATGGATGGGTATTAAGTGACTATTTAAGCTTAGTGACCTCTCAAAGGTTGCTTATGAGCCAGATTCAAAGTTCTTAGGCTTCCGCCGCTATGGGAGCAGTTTGGGTGCTTGGCAATCGCATGTATTTATCGCTGTTTGTAGCATCCCATAGTCACATCACCAATTTATGACTCATATTGCTAGAAACTGATTTTTACTTCCAGTTTCTGTCAAAAAAACAAAAAACAAACGCCCATTGCAGGGAATGGATTTACTTAATGCCTGTGGCATTTGCTTAATGAACTCAGAGGTTCAAAAACGTTGTAAAATCAGACATAGTCACCTGGTGACCTGCTCAACGACTGGCACAATTTACGATTGTAATTCCAGGCTCTATGATGTTGTAAGTCAAGGACTACCTGTAATGAAATTCTAGACTTGTAGCCTCCCCACAAAACATTTGTCTGTCAAATTTAAATGCTGCCCATCTCACTCAAAGCATCAATAAAAATGTATCCCCGAGAGAGAGATTCCTAGTCTTGGAAATTTAGAAGCAGTCTTGGCACCTTTAGAAGAAACTTAAAATACATGTCTTGCATACTATTTAATTTTCCCATCCATAATCTTGTTTGGATTGAAGGCTCCACTTGTTCTCTAAGTGCAGAGACACAGATACAATCCAGAAAATACACAGTGCTGGGAGACGAAAACTGATTTCATTTAATTCAAACCCAATTAGCTTTATATCAGTGGTCTGATGACATTCACACAGCAATTCAAAGACAAGTTTTGCCAGGGCTCCAGTTTTCATTTCTGACTGGCCACGTTTTGCTGTATGGGTTGGATTGTTGTTTGCGCACCACAGTTAAATTTGCACAAAATTTCACTCCATCTGAGTTGGTCAGGCAGGCTACAAAGAAGAGAATTGTTTGTATTCACTTACTTCAGTGCCGAGAATGTAAATCCTTTCAAACCATCCTTGCTTCTGAAATAAAAATCACATATTTCAGATATGAGTAACCAAGAACAACCTCACTATAGAGGCAATTTCCAACATCACAGCCTTTACAGATTATTTCTTGGAGACCTTCAGTCAGTCCAGTTTAGGATAGTATGTCTGCAGTTACTGGGGTTTTATGATAGGTTATAGCTTTTCAAGAACACGTGTAATGCGAACAGGAGAACGAAAAAAAAACACATTCCAAATGATATTAGCAGCTTCAACAAGTTTTAGCAAAAGCCCAGCTTTGGGGAGAAGTTGTTTTGATTTTTCATTTCAACATTTACCAAAGAGTTCCAACATTCTGCCAGCAGGTGTCTCTAATCGGCAGCAATTCACCTTAAAACTGGATCAAACTAATAAATCCAGTGTTTAGACAGACTACAGAAGGGCATTTATACCTTCTCTGAGATGTTTAACACATTAGTATATTAACCACCAATTATGAGAGCCGGAAATATGCTTCAAATACAGATTTCCACTTTTCCTGAGAGACAAAGGGTAATTCAATTTTCTATCTAATAAATTTTGGAGGTAGGCTGAGCCAACAGTTTAAAAGGGGAAATTTCAAGAGCATTAAAAAATATTGTTTATATGATATGTGGGTGTTCTTCTAAAAAAAGGTCCATAATTCACCCTCAGTCATCACTCTGATAATTACCAAAGCAAGAACACAAATGAAATTAAAAAAATCAGAAGAACAGAAAAGAATAACAGAGTTGGAAGAGACCTTAAAGGTCTTCTAGTCCAACCCCCTGCTCAAGTAGGAGACCTTATACTATTCCAGACAAATAGCTGTCCAATCTCTTCTTAAAAACCTCCAGTGTTGGAGCACCCACAACTTCTGAAGGGAAGCCTTTCCACTTGTTAATTGTTCTCATTGTCATGAAATGTTATCCTTATTTCTAGGATCTTGTCCTTCCCTTCGGGTGTTTTGGAGAATAGGTTGACACCCCCTCTTCTTTGTGGCAGCCCCTTAGATATTGCAACCCTGCTATCATGTCACCCCTAGTCCTTCTTTTCACTGAAAAACCAATGCCTGCAACTCATGTTTTTAGCCTCCAGTCCCCTAATCATCTTTGTTGTTCTTCTCTGCACTCTCTCTAGAGTCTCAACATCGTTTTTATATTTTGGCACTCAAAACTGGATGCAATATTCCAAGTGAGGTCTTACTAAGGGTTTATAAAGAGGGACTAATACCTCACGTCATTTCGATTCTATCCCTTGTTAATTGCAACCTGGGATTGCCTTGGCATTTTTGGTGGCTGCAGCACACTGCTGGCTCATATTTAAGGGTTTGTCCAACAGAACTCTTGCAAGTTACTGCTCTTGAGTCAGGTACCACCTATTCTATAGCTGTGCATTTGGCTTTTCTTGCCTGAATGTCTTTGAATGCCTAAACCAGGGAGGTCAAACTCGTGGCTGGATGCGTCACACGCTGGCCATGCCCACCCCCATTTTAGTGCAAGGGGAAAAAGTCATGATACATCATGTGATGACATGAGTTTGACACCCCTGGCCTAAACCACTGAATTTCATTTTGGAAACCGATGAAGCTCCAGTTACTTAAAAGTTACTTGAATATGTTCATGCAATGTGTAATTTGTGGGATTCCCTTCTTGTGGGATTTGTCTGCTAGCAGCATGAATAATCCAGTAAGGACCACCATCTGTCCCACTGTGTAATATTAACAGCAGTTATCATAACTAATTAAAAGTCTTTCATGTGACAAACATTAAAATCTGGAAAGGAATTTTTAAACAAAAAGCCATCTTGGGCTTGTTGTGTACAAAAATGATGCTAATTTATTATTATATATACATATATAATGTACAGTATAAACAAAAGGAACATGGATTTGGGAAAGGCCTTGAAAAACAAACACAACAGTATTTAGGGAACAAAGAAACTCCTGTCTAAAATGAAAGGGATCTAACTTTCCTTATGAATGAGAAGAGGAAAAAAAAAAAAGATTATGTACTCCAGATTGTTCTCATTTTAACACAGATTGGCACTGGTTCCAGTCATGTAGCCTCTAAGATAAACTGCTAGCAATCTTAGTGGCTTGTCTGCTCCTGGAATATCCTTCTAAACTTGAACGCAGCTGTGATACGCAGCGAGACACACTTCTGCACAAACCAGTTCATATGGTTGAGATGGGAACTTTCCCTGTTGATGTTGCTGAATTTCAATTCCAATTTAATTTCATTGGCCATGATGGCTGGGGGTGTTAGGCTCAACAACATCTGCTGAGCCACAGATATCTTGTGGAGCACAGTATTGTAAGGGGAAATACCCTTTAAACTTTAAACCCAGATGTTGCTTAATAAGGCTTACGTTTCTTCAGCAGGCATGTTACAATGTGAGAAATGTGGGAAGAATAAACCTGTCAAAAGGTTTTTCCTCTGATAATGTCAGTGAAAGTCAAAAAAAATCAACCCTGAAGGTATTTTTTATTCTGTATCTCTCAAGCCAAGACACTTTGAATTTGTAGTCCTATTAAGAGATTAAGAATATCTAAGAATAGACTAAATTCCTTCCAAGGACAGTGGAATTGAAAGCAAAGTTATGTTCGTTACATACACTGTAGAAGCCCAGAGCAAATGATAATTTATCAGGCTATAATTTGCTGTTAAACCCATTACCATTTCCCATTTCCCAAAGAGCCTGTGAAGTTTTTTTTGATGCTGCTGACATCCCCTCTCAGATCTTCTTCTCCAACCTAGCATTTTCCAGGTTGGGAATTGCTGCCCCCCCCTCTAAGAAACCCATTTCTGCTGAGTTTATGTTATGTAGAATCAATATGAAAAGTTTCACTCTACAGTCAAATCACTAAGTTAACAGACATTGCTTTGTCTGTAACTGCCTATAGATAAAAGCCTTTCTATTTGAAGGAATTCCCAACAGCTGGAAAATTAGAGTGAGGCTGAAATCACGGCTTAGCCTTGCAATGCTTTGAATCAGTAAAAAGACGATTCTGGCTTGCTAAATTGAAGAAGAAATCTGTACCTTAAGGGGATCCACTCGTCTTTTAAAATCCTACCAAAACTTACTTTCTTCTTACTGAAAGTCATGTAGTCCAGTCATGTGCTCAGCAATTAAGAGATGTTTACATTAATTTGCCAGCAGCAAAAGTGAAATTCTCAGTTGGCAAATTGTGGAAAAGGCGGAATTGCTCGTGTGTAGCATACTCTTTCAAAGAAAACAGGTACCCTAGAAACCTGTCAAACAGGCAACTGTATTTATTATACATTAGAATCATATGGAGAGAAATAAGTGACATACGACTGTTTTTCACACTTATGACCGTTGGGAGCATCCCCATGGTCCTATAATCAGAATTCAGACAGTTGACAACTGGCTCATATTTATGACAGTTGTGGTGTCCCAGGGTCACATGATCACGTTTTGCAACCTTCTGACAAGCAAACCATGTTATTAACTTCACAAGTGCGGCAATTCCCTTAACAACTATGGCAAGGATAGTCGCAAAATGCAGCAAAACTTGCTTAACAAGTGTCTCACTTAGCAAATTTTAGGCTCAATTCTGATCTTAAGTCAGGACTACCTGTAAATAGATTTTATGATTTTCATCCTAAAAATGACTGAAGAGATACTTCTAAAACAGCTGGAGTCTCTCGCTTTTCTTTTCATTGAATCCTGGCTGTACCGCCTATGAAATGACGTTTTTTTTTTTAAAAGCAGGGTTTTACAACAACTATAAAATGGTTTGTGTCTCCAAGTTATCTGAAGATTACTCAACTCCATGCTTCTTTATTTCATTTAGGAACAGTTGTTTCCTCTCCCAAGAGTATCGTTATGCCAGATGTGAACAGAGGACAAGGAGTACATTTAGAAGCAAGTAAAAAGATACAGGAAAAAGCTATATTCCCTCGGTGACCAGCTAAAAGGGCCAACGGGGATCCTGTCTAAATTTAGCCATAACTGGAGGAGTGGGGAGTGGAGTTGAGGTGGAAAGAAACTTGCAAAAGACTTGCTAACTCTCCTCACTCGAAGGATACACAGGCAAGTAGACAATCTGCAGCTGCTGGATAGGCACATGTCTGATTACAGGAGCTATATTTGCCTCCAGTGACTTCGACGTGCCAAGCAGAACTACCCATTTTGTGTCTAGCCACAGACCAAAACTAATTGCTCTTGTGCTGTGAATGTGGGTGTACTAATCTTCCCTCCACACCCCCATTGTGAGCCAAGGCAAAAGGTCTCCACACCACTTTGTAGGGCTAAATGTCACCAATTAGCTTTTCCATTTTTTTCTCTCTCTAAATGTGTCTTGTTGTAAACCTCTCAAAACATTCTCATTCAGAGGGTGAGTGTGTCTCAGAGCTCCTCGGGTGAGGCTTAATCACTAGAGTAGGGAACAAGCATCACGCGCAGTGAAAATCACAAGCGTTACGAGCGGAGATGTAACTTTGGAGAAACGGTTATCAAAGCAACATGTAACTTTTCTTACAAGAAAGATGTAATTGTGGTTATTTTTCAGGAAAGTGCGGCTCTAAGCCTGTCCTTTTTTTGCAGTCATTTGCAAAGGTTTTCATTCTGTTCTGATTAGGAGAGAGGGAATGGGAGAAATTCACAATAAATTTCGCGTCAAAAGGACTGGATAGAGAGAACTTTTTGTGATGCTTTGGTACCGTTCCCATGTCTTCGAAAACATTTCAGTTTTAGCTGCCGGAACACTTTTTACTGTAATTAATAACAAAGACTTGTTCCGCGGCAAAGAGTGTGTGGCTAAAGAAGTGGGCCACAGCATTTACATTTTCTAAATAAACAAGTACAAACTAAGGACGTCTAAAGGTATTTTGTAGAATGCTTTCAAGATCGGGCAAGCGTTCCTTAAGTTCAGCGGAAGAGGCGCAGATTAAAAAGCAATGTCAGAGTTCATCAACCATCTCAATAAAGAACATGAAAGTCAACTGTTGACATTTTGGACCTACACTGTGGACATTCAGAAATGGGGTCAG